TACTGACAGTTGTCCCGTGGTGGGTTTTGCATGGATTTTTTTTTAAACCCAAATGTGTTTTGGATGGATCCTATCTTAACTCATTTTACAGAACCGCATGTCTTTGCTCTCGCGAGCTGTAAACAATTGGGCACGCTAAAAAATCCATGGTTGGGGGGAATGTCCCAAGGAGACGTCATTCTTTTCCCGTGCGGCAGCATTTGTCTCTGCCCTCCAGCCACGCGCACCTGCTCGCCCGCAGGTTTGGATTGCTGAACAAGCGCAATTGGATTTCCAGTAAAAAATTCTGTTCTCGAATCCAATGGGAGACACATTCTTGTCTTTTACACGCATTCATATAATAATTCTTTTGTTTCTTTCCCGCACCTTGTGTCCTTTATAAGCATTCCCCATTATTCTCGCGGTGTTAATTTCTACAATATTAATTCCTTTATTTTTTTAATGACGTGTCCTTATCGCTCCATTGTTTTTATCCTGGTTGTGAAATGTGAATATAAATTTGTTTTTTTTTAACATGTCCACTGCACACGATATTAACTGCTCGATCGGCAGCTTTCTTGCTGTGCGATTTTTTTGAAAGGTGTGGTTACTCCCCATTCCTTCCCAGATGTCGCGGACAGCTTGGGGGGGAAAAATAGGCTAAAATAACCTCCCAGGAGGGGTTCTGTAGAGCTCCCTCCTGTGGAGACACACTTTATGTAGGGGTGTCTGTGGCACTCTCCGATGGGGGGGGGGGGGGGTCCTTCTGCCAGCAGTGAGCCAGCAATTAATTGCAGGGCTGCACCTTTGACTTTATTCGGTATTTAAACTGCAGCTTAATGCCCAAAGTAGTATCACGTTTTGTACTACAGAATGTGGCACGTACAGAATAATGAAGGTTTTTGTTAAATCGTGTAAAATATTAATGCTAAATTAAGTAAGCTTTGTCACGTTAAAGAAAACGTGCCAGTTAGTTGCAACTTAATAAAAAAAAATATACGCGAAAGCGTTTTCGACGTATGTACAGTACTGTATATACAAATACCATTTATTGTTTTGGAGGTGCCGTGCATGTGAACCGGTTTCATATCCAGACTAGGTCCCCCCCCCCCCCGTTCTCCTCTAAAATTGTGCGCCGACTTGGCTTTTGGAGCGTGAGCATCATTACCTCATTTGTTTGACTTCGCCCTCGCGGGACGTCTAAAATGCCACTTATATAATAATACGTACGGGGATGATTGATTCGTCTGCTACTGCTGCTGCGGCGGCAGCGGCTTAGCAGTGCGATCACGCGCTGGTTGAAAAAATAAATGTTCGTCCCAAATAAAAAAAACCGCGGTGGCTTTTATCAGCTGGCTCTCTCCCACGCGGACGGAGGGGGGCACGCGTGCACGCACGCACACAAACCGCGTTGCTCAGAGGGCAACCCGATGCCATCCGTCTGCCTGTCGTTGCGTCCATCCATCAGCGAGTAATAGCCAATTGCACCGTTGGCTGTGTGTCACTGGGGATGGAACCACTTGCGAGATGTGTGGGGGGGGGGAGTGGAAGAAGTGTGGTGCCGTGGAATCGTCAACACGCGTGGGTGTAGAGCGAGGAGGAAGGGGGGGGGGTATTGACGCTAGGAAAGTGGCAGTCGCCTCATTTGTGCCTCTTAGTTTTCGCATCATTCATGAATGCCTTTTGGTGTTGCAGCGGGGGGTGGAAGGGATCTTTTCTAACCGCCGGGTCACGGCTTTCTCATTTGGTTTTTGTTTCATGTGCACAAATGTAAACTGGCACCTTTTTTTTCAAATTTACATGCGTCTCATATTTTCGTCACTGGCATGATTTTTTATGTTTAAAATGCACAACGAAATACAATTTTCGATCAAAACCACTTCATCCAACTCCCCCCCCCCTACCCTTAGCAGTCCACCAAGCAAATACGAGGGGGGGGGGGCATTGTTAATGTTGGACGCTAAAAGCAAAGCGGGGGGGGGGGGGGCAGAAATGACGGTGGCCAGTAAATATTTCCAGCAAGTTGCCCATCTTTGATCTGTAATTCTGCCAAACCTCGTCTCTTGATTTTCTCACCGCTGCTTTCATTTGTTCGTTGCTCCCCTTGAAGATGGTAACTGAAGCAGATGGCAGACCTGATTTTTTTTCGTGCAGGCAGGCTTGCAATTGACACCGAGGGCAGCTTGACGTGCTCCGCTGCCCACTATTTTGCGCTAGAAATGCTTTGATTTGCAATTTGTTGCTTGCCCAACGGGGGGGGGGGGGGAAGAAAAGCTTTGCAGAATTGTCGGAAGATTCTCGTGCGGCCCAAATGGATGATGTGGCCAACGAGCTTGCCAGAATCATTTTGCCCCCTCCTGGCTTTACGCCTGGCTCGATCTCCACGCCCACGTCTCGTTATTTCTGGGGGGGGCATTATCAAAGCCTGCCATCTGCTGTCAAGTTGATGTTAAAGGCCCTGCGTCGTCATTCTTAAGCAATGTTAATGGTGGTCGAAGTGGTCCGCTTGTGTACATACTGTAATGTTGAGCCATTGGTTTTTGGCACTAAAATCTCTTTCTGTCTCGAGTCCTGGCAATACTGATAAGTAGATCAAGTGAAGCGTTTTAGATTTTTTTTTAACAAATATATATTTTCTATTTTTTATGCTCCTTTAGCAATTACTACATTGAAGTGAAATAAGTGTGGAGAGCTGCAAATATTGTAGTTTAGTTGAGACCATGATTATTGATTAGATATAATCTGCAGATTGGCAACGGTCAAGCATTAATAAAGCATTGGACTTTGAAGGCTACCGTACAAGTCTGGAAGGGACATTTACCGATGATCAAAGCGAATGACTGAGTAGCAACCAAGGAATGGAATAAATGCATCCTCGAGGAGGAGCTGAAACTATGAAATCGGCTCTTGTACAGATGCCGCGTGGCTTACGCCATGGGATGGTTGTAAGAAATGACGACCGCCTTTTTGGATTGGGCTTTTGTCATGCGTGCATTGACCGTGGCAGCCGATTTTTTATTTTCTCCCTTAGCTTTAACGCGATACCTAATTGTAGTGCACGATGATCAATTGCGTGCCGCGTTTTGATACGCCCAGCTTGGCAGTGCGGCAATGACCAGCGTGCATAATAGTGGGCAGAGCAAAGGAATTGTACTTTAATTGCCTATCGCCCCACCACTGCACCACATGACTGCGACGTACATTTGTGCGTGACGAATGCTTTGGCGCAAAGCAGAACATAACTTTTTTTTGGCCGGTGTGCTCTTCGGAGTTGCCGCCTTGGGGTTTTTTTTTCTCCCCCCCCCGCCCCCCTTTACATCCTCAACTGTCGAACGTATCTACGTGCGTCTCAGCTGTTGGTAGTCCTGAAGTTTGGAATCGGCGAAATTGACATTGGCTGCAGTGGGGTGGGGGCCAAGGGGGTGGAAACTTTTTCCCCAATCCTACGTCTGCATTTAAATGCAGCAGTGCTTACTCGGTTCCACAAGCCTGCACTCCATCCTCATCCTGTCAGTTATGCTTGCAGGCCGGTTTACTGGAAGCTGCTGCCATTTCACGCCGCGGGTTTCGGGAGCCGTGACGGATGATCTAAAGCGACGCCTCCCAGAGGTCGGAAGCTTCCTGATGCTTCCCCCCCCCTCCTTCCTGAAATCTAAAATCCTTAATCCCAGCCCGTTCACTATCCAGCACGGCTACTCGTTGAGTGCGCGCGGTGGGTTGTTGAGCCTTCTGGTTGCCGATCCAGATTCGTCAGCGGCAATGTTTTGAGGGACGGTTTTTTTTTCCTCGGCACCGGAGTATGAGAGGTGCAAGGTTGTGCTGGTTTATTTTAGGGGAAAAAAACAACTAATTTCTGCAGAGGCCTGGTCTTTCAGTCGTTTATTTTCCATAACCAATGGGCAGTACACGGTCTGCTTTTTACATTATTTCCAAACAATTGCAGGTTTTCAGTCCAGTTGTATTTGACACTTTTTATAAATCTGGCAATTGCATTGTGGTTGACTTAAAAAAAAAAAGTTCGCACTCGTTTTAGTTTCTACTGGGTTTGTTTTGCCCAGAGTAACGCATGCATCTGTCTTTTATTCTCCATCTCTCATAATGCCTTGTATTCACAGGACACACCCCGGTATTATCACTCCCCCCCCCCCCTCCATAGCCAATGTCAAGCGCTCTGCCCTGAAAGTTCCTGCCACACGGTTTTTTGAGTGACCTAAAGTTACCACGATATAATTTTCCACAGTACGACGCAATATGACATTTTCACTGATTTTTTTATCGCTGTGTCTGTTTATCCTTTGTAACCGTATTTGCATATGTTAATCACTGTGCATTGATGCACTTAGGGCACCTTTTTAAAAACAATTGCATAAGAACTGCAATTCGGTGAGCAACAATTCTTATGACTGCAATGCGCTTTTGATTTGAAAGCTTTCATGACTGCAGAAATCCATATTCTTTGGTTCTTTCAGTAAAGTTGCGTAGTTAGAAATAAAATCCAAATCACGACGTTTCGATCGCAACACAAGTCTGATGGCGACCGCTTGTGGTGCGATCGAAACGTCGTGATTTGTATTTTATTTCTAACTACGTGACTTTACCGAAAGAACCAAGAGTATGCAATGCGCTTATCGGTGATGTGGCCACCCTAGTGGTAATGAATGATGACGGATCTGGTGGCAATGGGCTTGAGGCGATGGCAATGTCTTGAATGCCCATAAGAGGTTTTTGGGTTAAATCGCATAAATATACGAGTCGTTAAACCCGACCAGCCAATTTAGTAAGGTCTGTCACGTAAACAAAACATGTCAATTTGATACTAACACGCCACACTGTGTTGCAGAGAACCCACAACATTTTACTATTCGAGGTACGACGTTTTTTCCAGTAATTGCGACCAGCCCACAGTTTAATGCCTTCGTCCAGAAGTGGCTTGTTCATGGCTGCAGCTGCCGGTGATTGATGACGATTTTCTTTTTTTTTTTTAATGGCTGCATTGGTACCCGACTTGTGCACCCTGGCAGGGCGTCGGCAAGCAGACATTCTTTGCCGGCACGGCTCACGCCGGCCATGGAGGTGGCGACCAGCAGCTCCGAAGAGAGCTTCCAGGCACTCAATCACGCGGAGCAGATGGCTCGCCGCATGGAGGGCTACCTGCGGCACAAGCAGCTGTGCGACGTGGTGCTGCTCGCTGGAGATCGACGCATCCCCGCGCACCGGTGCGGCCTCCCGTGTGTGTGTGTGTGTTTGTTGTTTGTTTGTTTTGCACGAACCCGTGCACATATCGAGGTAATGACCTTTTTGTTTACAGCCGGGTGAAATGAAGCCTGTTGTGTGTGTGCGCGTTGCTTCTTTCGCACCGTACGTAGCCTCCCGTGCTAATCGGCAGTGTGAGGAAAGGACAGCAGACAACACGAAGCAGTTCTAAAGAAATTCGTTTTTTTATCACCACTCCCACTGGCTTCCTAAATGCAGAAGCAACGATATCTCGTTGCTTGTGCAAAGGACCTGAGCGTTGAACGCCTCGGATGTTTACGGTGTAGAAATTGATTGGGGAAACTGAAAACATTTCTGGTTTGCAAGCAAAACGCCAGCAGTTCACGTGGGAATTCGGAGACAAATTTAAATGGCAGTGCAAAGTATCGAAGGTTGGTGTGCGAGCTAATTAACTTGCAGAACAAGAATAACGTAACATCAGGGATGGTTTCTATGCACAATTGGAGCGGTGTACAAATGAGGATAATTCTAATGAAAACTAAGTAGCTGTTATCGTTGCTTGTGTTGCATATTTCTAAGTTTTTTTTTATTTGAATGTATATTGCTTTCGTGTACAGCAGGATTTACTTTAAAATAATAATGGAGCACAGATTCATTTTCTTTATTCCATTGGAATATATTGTAGGTGGTTATCAGTCATTTTTAGAGTAATTATTTTTGTTGCTGCCAGACTTGTTTTAATCTCTAAATTTAAGGACTCCTAAATGCTATAATTCAAAATACATTATTACCTCGAAGCCCAAAGATCGACAAAGTAACAACACCTGTCTTGCTAACGCATTCATTTTAAACCTTTATTGATGGCCTATCGTTGGAAATGTTCACCGTTGCATTTTCATGATTTTTAATAACTGTGGCTAACATCGCGTGGGGGGGGGGGGTCGAGAGGGGTGAAAATAAAACGTACGCTCGTCAGATTGATCCGTTTGCGCAACCTTTTCCTCCTCGCTGCTCTGTTTTGTTGTACGACAGGCTGGTGCTGAGCTCCGTGTCCGACTACTTTGCAGCGATGTTTACCAGCGACGTGCGGGAGGCAAAGCAGGAGGAAGTGAAACTCGAGGGCGTGGAGCCCACCGCTCTCTGGGCCCTTGTGCAGTACGCCTACACCGGTAACAAATACGTGGCGCTCCGACCACCACACGTTTTTCACCAAGTATAGTGTCAATATTTCGATTTAAAGCTTTCGTGACTGCAGGGATTCATCTTCTTGGTTCTTTCGGTAAAGTCGCGTAGAAGAGAAGTAATAAAATAATAAAAATAAAACGTAATAATAAAAATAAAACCTAATAAAATAATTCTCACGAAGTTTTGGCCACAACGCAAGCAGCCGTCCTCAGGTGAAGACCAGGTCTGTCGGGGAGACGGCGTCTGAATGAAACACCACCACGCTTGGAGCGTATATTATTTTATTATGTTTTATTTTTATTATTTTATTACTTCCCTTCTACGTGACTTTACCGAAAGAACCAAGAAGATAGTGTCAATAGTTTGCGATATGATCATTATTCATAATTGGTTTCTCCTTGGGTTCGATTGAGTTGGTAAAATCCTACTGCTTTTACTTTCACCCTCTACCACCACAGTCAATAAAAGCACGTGGTGACATGGGCAAATATATGCAAAGTTATTTTGGTTTATCAACAACTGGAAAGTTTTTAAAATCAAGTGCAATGTCTGTCGCCATCCTTCATCCCTTTTTTAAATTTTATGCTCCATACTACTGCTTCTCATCTCTCTCTCTCCGCTGCCTTGTCGCACACGGGCAGACTTTAATTTGGTGTTGTGTGTGGCATTATTAAGGTAGTGGTGAACCGGATAAAAAAGAAAGACCGAGGTCTGGTTGTCGCCCAAAAGTAGGTCAAGATGAGCTCGTTGTGGTTTTGATAGTTAGGACCAAAAGAAAAATAATATTTTGGTTTGGGCTGTTGATGTCCCCCATGCCGCACAAATTGGCAATTGCATTCGGGTTTGGGTGTCTTCACAGCTGCGACCCAAATTGCAAAGACCGAGCAAGGCCAAATACAAATGATCATATTTCACAGTAACGTGTCTTGGTTTTTTTTGTAAATGCTTGCTTGGCTGTTTATTTTGACTTAAATTTCGTGACTGCAGAAATTCATTCTTTGGTTCTTTTCGGTAAAGTCGCGTAGAAAAAAAAAGTAAATACAAATAATAAACAGCAATAAAACACTAATGTAGACTGCAGCCTGGTTTTTAATCGAGTGAGTGTACTGGCAGTCTATAATGTAGACTTTTATATTGGTTCTTTCAGTAATAAGAAAACAAACCATGACGTTTCAATCGCAACGCAAGCGGTCGTCATCAGGAAAAGAGAGGTTAGCCTCTAAAGACAAACTGTTTATAAAGGTTTAGAGAGGCGCATAGCCCAAGTGTCGGCAGCTTGGGCGGGGAAGATAATGTTAATGTAAAAGAAAAACAAGCAACTATACCAAAGGGCTGCCAGGCAATCATTGCACCTCGCTCCACTCACCCACACTGACGGTGGAGGTTGACAATAAAACTCAAGTCATGACCCAAAGTGGTTGATGACATCTTTCCAATGATTGCTGAGTTTATAACCATCCTCTTGGTTGAAGTTGTCTATATATGGATGGCTTCATGAACGAATCTTTTATGGCCAGTAGGCTTGCAAAGTACCATCGTCTTAGATAAATCAATTTAATGTGAGCCAGCCGCATTAAAATATTGATCAGCCACGGCAGAAGTATTGGTCCTACTTTGATTCAAATCTGCCTTGTGCTCATGTACATGGTCAGACATGTCGTTTACTTTCCCCAATGTAACTGCTACTGCAGATACAGCTTAGTTTGTCGATGCCGGGATATTGCATGTCAGGAATCTTGTCCTTCACAGATAGGATTAGAACACGTATTTTATGTACCGTGTTAAATCGGACCTGGATCTTCATGATTTAGGAAATATTTTTGGTTACCCCTGTATGTATGGCAAGCTGATGGTTTTGATTGGATCATTGGATGGCTCTTTCCTCTGGTTGGGGGTGATGGCTTTGCAGATTGTGTCGTCTGAAATATCCATTTGCCTTGAGAGCTTGGTGTACGTGTTTTTGAGTTCACTCGTTAGGTGTTAATGGTTGGTGATGCATTGAGCTCGATGGTGTAGCGTTTTTATGAGAATTCTTCTGGGATGGAATGTGGTGGGTTTTAGGTAGGCATCAGTGTGTTACTTTCTTGTAGACAGACTGGCTCATTGAGCCATCTGGTCTCTTTGATTTAGGATATCCAAGAAAGGTAGCATGCCATCCTTTTCTCTACCTCCCATGGTGAATTTGATGGCTGGGTGTATGGAATTAATGTGGTTTGAGGAATTGTTTCAGAGCTGGTCAGCCACGTGGCCAGATGACAAACGTGTTTTATCCACGTACCTCTTCCACAAGGACGGGTGTAGAGTGGATGCCTGGATGGCGCCCGTCTCATATATTTGCCACTTAAAATATTGGCTACAACCGGAGATAAGGGAGAACCCATTGGGGTGCCTTCAGTTTGTTTTGTAGACTGTTCCATTCCAGGTGAAGTATGTATTGGTGAGGTAGTGTCTCACCAGTGTGGTACATCGGCATTCAATCTACATCGAAACTAACTCGCAAATCACCTGTCCCCAGGTGATATGTCTTTTAATTGACGATACCAGGTGAGCTGAGTTAAGAACATAATAGGTGGTCTTACCAGTGAATGGTTGCAAGGTCTTGGACAGTTATTGGGCCAGTTTGTAAGTGGGTGAGCCAATGGTGGAGACGATGGGACGAAGGGGTGTACCTTATGCTATGGGGACCTCATTTGCCAGTAAAAATATGATAATTGGTTCTTTACCCTTCTATCTGGCAACAAAACTGACACCTTTTTACAAGGAGTCATGTTTGCATAGACCGCAATACCTGCAGTCATAAATACAAACAAAAGACATAACTCTAATGTGCACTGTCCTTGAAGTTGATTGGTCCACACCCGAGACAGCTTTCCTTAGAGCCTAGTCTCACATGGGTTGGACCAGAAGATGCCAAAAGGCGCACAACTCAAAGACAATGCACGATCAGAGTATGAGAGCTCGGGGAAAACATCTACACTATGGGGACCTCATTTGCCAGTAAAAATATGATAATTGGTTCTTTACCCTTCTTTATCGATTTTTGGCAAGCCATAGAATCTGGGTGGTCTAGCAGCAGAATATTTTTAAGGAAAACCGTTTGGTCTGTTCAATGAATGAAGCTGAATGGGTGATGATATTGTTCGTTTTTGTAACGAGGCTGTTGGTGGGATCTCTTAAAAGTTTTGTGTAGCTACCATCATTAAGTAGGTCCTGAATTTTGTTATTGTACGCGTTTTTGTCCGTGATGACCGTGGCATTGTCCTTGTTGGCTGAGAGGATGACTATCCCTCCTTTTTCCATTGAACTCAAAACCGCTCATCCTTACTGATGTTGCTGACTGGTATCTTAGCGCTTTTTAGGGTTGCAGCAATTTCAGATCTTGTCATGTTTGCAGCGATGTGTCCCAAAACCCTTAAGAGCTACATCGACCTGGGCAATAATGTCATCCACTGGTATGTGTTTTGGGGGGGTGACCTTTCGAAGTTCAACCCATTAGCCAAAACCGATTTTAGACCATTTGGAAATTGGGCTATTACTCGGATTAATCACAACCTTGTCAACGTCTAACTTTTTAACGTGTTGATCTTGTTTCTTCTTGGAAAGGAGGTTGAACTTGGAAATCAGGTTATCTTTACATTTATCTGACATTGTTGCGGCTGAAGCAGTCGTGTTATCTACATGTTCCCAATCAGATGTAGACATTTTTTTTCCTGTCAATATTAAGTGTGATTTCAAGAGTCTTGTCTATAGGCTAGTTTACATTTTAGATTGCCAGTTCACTCACTCTACATTCGTGGTTTTGTTTTTTATTTTCTTTATTCTTATTCACCTCGTTTTTTATTATTATTTTTCTATCCATGTGACTTTACCAAAAGAACCAAAGAATATGGTTGTTTATACGTTTTTTTCTCCTGCTGTTGACAGCTGGAGGATTTTGACCTGCTTGTGCTATGGTCCATGAGGCTGGGTGCTGTTGAATTGGCCAGAGCTGTCCTTTGAGCAGTTGCCAACTGCCATTTTATAATTTTCAAATGAGGTTCTCCTTTATTCAAGCAATACTTGGCTCCTTAAAGTGACTCATTAGCATGTGTGCTAACTTGGTTAGACATGTTTTGGCATTGAGGGCATACCAATGCCACGGGGTGCCATGCTGTTTACATAGCCCACTGATGAATGTTGCAGTCGCAAACATTTTCTCTGGCGATGCCGCATGTCATTTTTCTTTGTAATTTATCGGTCAGCTTCTCCCAGCAGGCAAGGCTGCGTTGGCTGGCTGGATCGTGTAGCCAGCATGCCCAGCCACCGCATGCCCAAGCAACTTCTGTTTGGCTGCATAGAGGGGGCTAAACGGGCACGATATGGGCTGGAGAAGAGATGGACCTAGATGCGGTACGAGAGAATGTGGAGCTGAGAACTTGCCGAAGACTGGTACCAGCAGTGTCAAGATTAGCCGTTAACGGAGGAGGCTTGTGAAAGACTCTACTGGGCAGTTGGAGGCAGTTCCAACAATGGAGGGCAGAGAGTGATGCTCACAACAAGCGGAGTGCTGGGTGACTAAAATGCAGCAAGTTGGCACAGTAAGGGGGTGCATCTCCCGGTCATCTGTCGGCCAACCAATGGTACCTGGGTCTGTCTTGTCAACTGTTGGCAAGCCTTCGACACTTCACGTGACTTCTATACCTGACCTGGCACAGACGCCGTGGTGACATCCGTCACTTTGTGGCGAATGGCGGGTATCGGTGTATCGGTATTGGCACGCAGTTGATGCTCTGGTTATTTGTTTAGTCTATTTAGCCAATCGTAAACAAGTGGATTATTTTTTTGTCCAATCCATGAACTGTATTCTTCGGAGGGGTAATATTTATTTTCATATCTAATGTGAGCCTTTTAAAGGAGATCCCCTCTGCTTCGCCGTGCCGATCCACAATGTTCTTTAACCTTTTCGAAAGGTAGCACTCCTTTCAAAAAGGAGTCGTTGGTATTGTGGGATGAGGCCGTTGGCTGCTTTCCAATTGAGACGCACGTTTAAGTCTTGGGCAGGAGGGGGGGGGGGGTAACAGTCGGTCAGAGCGTGACCGTTGTACGTAATTGAGAAGCACGTGTTTGGGGTTTTTTTTGGGGGGGGGGGGAAGACTCGATTGCCATTTCAGGTTTGAATAGAAACACAAGTGTGCTCATTACGCACTCCATTGAACGTAAAATACACTGTAGCAGCGGTGATTTGCCGCGTGGCTGCAAAAAATGTATTCTCCGTTCCTTCCTGACAATTCTCTCGTTGGCCTCTGCTTGCCGTTTTGGGGAAAATGCCAGTGTTTTCATACGCTGAAAGTCCTTGTCAACATTTTAACGTTCAGCAATTGCTCGACCCACTCCTTTGTTCTTTTCGAGGCGTTTGTTTGACCTGGCCAAATGCAACCGCTACCTTTATGCACGTGAACTCGCGCAAACTGCACGTGGTAACACCAGCCCCCCCCGCCACTCCCCACATAATGACATCCTCTGATAAAGACAACACAATTATATTTTTAGTAAATTGGTTATTTCGCAAAACATTGTTTCCACGTGCGTTTTTGAGATCCCATGGGTGTGATTTATAAATCATGTTCTCCTGTACTTAGGTCCAGGCAACAGACGGGGTCAGCCAACTGACAAATGCATCTTCTCCATAATTTATTGTGCTTTAAAAAATGTAAAAGCTGCAAAAGGAGCAGCTCTGAATGCCTCAACCCACATGCCCTTGTGCGGTTAAAGGCTCCCAGCTGCTGTTGCCACTGGAGGGATTTTTCTTTTGAAATGCACGCATTTTTTTTATAAAGGGTGCTTTAATTAGCAAAATTTATTTGCATGAAATGACAGCGTAACCTTTACGTTTTGGGGGGGGGGGGGGGGGAGCGGTGGGGGAGGGAGGGGGTACGTAAAAAATAAGCCCCAAAGAGTACAACTTGCCCTAGCGTTTGACTCTGTCACATGACCTCCGAGGTCACTGAAATTAACCCCCATTGATGTGAAGAAAGCCATGTTCATATTTGAAATGTTGTAATAACTGCTCCTAATGATAGCCGGGAACAGATAATGGCATTTCAAGAGCCATGTCTCGACTTGCATATACGTTTGGCATATTATTAAACCTTAGCAAGACTAGGCCCAAATGAATTTTTATTTCAAATTCCTTACATGTCATTGACTTTCCATGTTCATGTGTGCATTGAACACTTGCTAAACCTATTGCTAAATTGTCAAGTCACCTTCATTATAAAAGAAACACCTTTTTTATATTACATTCCTAAAATGAAAACCGTGGGTGGAACGTTGGCCAAGTGGTTGTTGCACTCTGCTATGAACCCAGCGATGATCTTAATCGGCCCTGGGCCTCCCTGTGAAGTATGATCGATTCGACCCCCATGACCGACGGCACTGGGAAGCCTTCACCCAGCATGGAGTTTAACAAAGGGCTGATATAGTGATATGTTTTTACCCTTTAAACTGGTACAAAAACTGACACCTTTATACAAGGTATCATGTTAGCAATAACCACAACACAAGCAGTCAAAATGCAAACAAAAAGAAACAACTCTGATAATGATATGCACTGTCCTTGAGGTTGATTGGTCCACACCCAAGACAGCTTTTTTTTAGAGCCTAGTCTCCATTGGTGTTGGACCAGATGACGCCAAAAGGCGTACAACTCAAGAACAGCGCATTATCAGAGCATTGAGAGCTCGGTAAGCATTTGCACAATGAGACCTCCTTTACCAGTGGCAAAATATAGTGATAGGTTTTTACCCTTTCAACTGGTACAACACCATGTGAGACTAGGCTCTAAGGAAAGCTGTCTCGGGTGTGGACCAATCAACTTCAAGGACGGTGCATACATTATCAGTTATGTTTTTTGTTTGCATTACGACTGCAGGTATTGTGGTCTATGCAAACATGACTCCTTGGAAAAACGTGTCGGTTTTGTTGCCAGATAAAAGGGTAAAAAACCAATTATCATATTTTTTCTTTTGGCAAATGAGGTTCCAATGGTAACAAAGGACTGTCAAGGTACTGTTTTCATTTAGTCGGTACAACTTCGTATGGTACCGAGTTGTAGGCATATCGGTGACGAGGTCCGGTATATGAACATTTGTAGAGAATGACAATCGCACCACGCATATACTTCCCTGATTGTGGACGGTGAAGTGCTATTTAGGGCAGATATGTGACGGTCCCATGTGGTGCTGTTGATAGGTCGACTGTCAACAATGACGACGGACAATAACAGTTCCACAAATTGCAATTTACTGCACATGTAAAGCAGGCGGTTTTTCGAGTCGCAGTGCGCGGGGGTACGTGACAAAGTCGCATAAGAGACCGTTGTTACCACGTTCCAATGGTAACTATCAAAACGCTGGCCACTCCTACAGGCGTATCAGAGCTTAGGAAGAAACACAGGGTTGTTAGTTTATTGAAACATGCGGTTTTTAGACCGGTTTTCATTGCACTGTAATCTGTCCATGTTTTTTTTGTGTGCTGGCGTCAACCACCTTTTCACATACTCTGTGCCTGACATCGTTTTGTTAACAAAATCCTTTGGGGGCGGGCGGGAAACATCGCAGGCCGCCTGGACCTGCGAGAGGACACCATCGAGGGCCTGCTGGCGGCCGCGTGCTTGCTCCAGCTGTCGCCCGTGGTGGAGGCTTGCTGCGGATTCCTCATGAAGCAGCTGCACCCCTCCAACTGCCTGGGCATTCGCTCGTTTGCCGACGCCCAGGGCTGCACCGACCTGCACAAGGTGGCACACAACTACACCATGGTGAGCGTCTGTGATTGCCGTGGGTTCCTCCCCCCCCCCCCCCCCCCGAGGTGATGGGCATCATAGAAGGGGAGGGGGGAGGGGGGAGGTGGCAGGGGGTAGAATTCCCACGGGTGTCTCTGCTGAGGTGCGAATAATACGTTTCCTGTAATTGACTGAGTGATGGTGGCTTTTGGTACGGTTCCCATATCTGTTGGCCTATATATATACACACGTATTAGGAATGAGATTTAGATTTTTTTAAATCTTGGATGTTTGGCTATTTAGTCCCGTTTTTCAGATGGCTATTTTTATGTTTATATAAATAAGGTATGTTTTTTAATAACATGCATGGTTTGTCTGCTAAATGTATAATTACTTGAAATGCTAATGGTTTAATTACATTTTCAACACATTTCGTTTTCATAAAATCTTTATAATATTTGAATTTATGGAAATTTGACGTTGCACAAATAACATCGTGTAACCTGTTTTAAAACTGCAAAACGGTAAATTCGCGCGGGTATTGAAGCACAACCCTGCTTCCCACCCCCTCCACCACACTTACCTTGAGCCCAGATGTTGTGATCGTGATGGGCTTCGAGTCAACCTGAGCGCCACACCTTTTTGCCTTGGTACACACAGGAGAACTTCCTGGAGGTGATGCGAAACCAGGAGTTCTTGCTGCTACCAACGGAGGCGGTCGCCGACCTCTTTGCCAGCGAGGAGATGAACGTGCCGGGCGAGGAGACGGTGTTTCAGGCGCTCATGGCCTGGGTGATGCACGACGCCGAGACACGGCGCCACGTCCTGCCGGGCCTGCTCACTCACGTACGCCTTCCGCTGCTCTCGCCGCAAGTGAGCCTGCGTGTCTCCGTGTGTATGTCGCGAGAAATAACATGGCCTGGCACGAGCACAGTGGTGACGTTGCCGCCAGCTTGGTGGCGAATGGCGGTTGTTGTTGTCGTGAAAAACGAGGGGAGTGGGTAGTGTAGCGATTGGCGCGCTGCGCTCCACACCTGGCGACACGAGTTCCATTCCCGGTCACGGCTGACACCAGTGATTTATCTAAACCTGTCTTGGGCCTCCCCTAGGTCGACTCGGCCTCGAGTGACGTTCTGGTGAGGTGTGTATCATATCAGCGCTGGGGAGACGAAGGCGGCTGGGCATAGTGTTGGCCACCCCCCACCCCTTCGTGTGTGGTTCCGACCTTCATAGCTGCTCTCTTAACGGAACTTGCCAAAGAGTCTACGCTATACGGGGGGGGGGGGGGGGGACCTTTTTTCTTTGTTGACATGTAAAAGGTGCAACCCTGCAAATTGCAGGCATACACCACTACTGGCGGAAGGGCTTCTGCGAGAGAAAGCTCTGCTATTTTGGCTCTCTTCTACTCTGGCCAGATGCCTCGGAAGCGATTGGGAGTATCCACACTTTACCTTGCCACACGCAAACCTCCCTTTTTGGCTAACTCTTGTCATTTATGCTTCTGAGTGGACAGGCTGGGATGGGGTGGGATTTAAAACCGATTTGGCTCCCGGTGATTGTTACTGTCACTTCGTGGCCCATCGAGGCTAATGTCCTGTCTCCTACGTGTGCAAGCGTTCATGCACAGCTGTGTGGGTGGATTTGCAAAAAAATTTCTGCCGTTTGTAATGATCTGGTATCAAACACAAATTATCTGATGCTGTGTTGTCGGTGTACAAACAGACCCGACCTCTCTAGCCTATCTCTGTGCTGCGAAAAAGAGCAATTTCTCAAAACGTTGCCTATTGTAGGCTTCATTTTTAAGGCTTTGTTGGTATCAAGTGCTTGAATAACATAAAACGTGTACATAGTATTTATTCATTGCCACAGAATACAATTCATATGGTATTTAAATGCCACACCATCTCAAGGAGCTGTACATTAAATAGTGCTCCCTATTTCATTTTGAGAGGGCTAGTCGGTCCTATTTGGGGGGTGGGGGGGGAGGGGAAAGAAACGTCTTGAACCTGGACTGCAACAGTCGACAGCGTAATGGCTGGGAGAAGGAAGTTTCCGACTAATGGTGCAGTGGAGGAGAATAGACGACCTCCCACTGAGCGCAGGTTGAATGGTGGCTTGGACAGAGCCCTGGTTGCTGGAGTGAAGAGTGGAGGGGGAAGAGTGAGATGAGGGAAGAGGCAGGGAGAGTCCTGTCGAGGGGGGAGGTGAGGTAGGCAGGGGTGGGGGGTGTGAGTCTTATGAAAATGTACACTTCCAGCTATCGACACACGCGTGTTACCGATGAGCACCGGAAAGATTGCCATTCGGCGCGTTAACTTTTATTGCAAGATAGGCACATGGTAGTTTATGCTTTAATTCGTTTGTTTAAAAAAAAAAACTAGGTCCTCGGCCCCTGCAGTTGTGTTCTTGCAATACTATGGCACCGTGGGATGTGCACACCGGTACTATTCTTTAGACTCCACAGGCGTGTGGCAATGTCGGCGTGAATATGCGCAAACGCACGGGCGCCCACGCGTTTTGCGAGCTGAGCAGATATGCGATGTTCTACGAGTACTTGTGGCACGTTCTTTTCTCATCTTTGTACACCCAATTTCAGGGTGTCTTCCAGCAACAGGATGCCACGGTGACCTAGATGTTAACTACCTCGTCTGGTATACAGGAGGTCGTGAGTTTGATCCTGACTTGTATATTTGTAGTTTGCATGTTTTCACCGTGGCCACGTGGATTTTTATGTGGGTCCTCCAGCTTTTTCCTCAACATTTAGGAACATTTGTTTCGAGTCTGCTATAATTTTCCACATAAGCAACTTCGTTGAGCTATCATTTGTGACCAGGTCGCGTATGAACGAGCTACATTGCGCAGTGGGCCTTACCTGGTAAAATAAATAAAGTTTAGTAACAACCTTTGTCTTCCCCCCCCCCCGCCTCACTGCCCTTAACCTTCCCCCACACACACTTTTACCAGTTCCTGGGCGACCTGGAAAGCAACCCATTGCTGTGCGACGATGTGGAGTGCCAACGTCTTTTGCTGCAAGCCATGAAGTACCACCTCCTTCCCGAGCGCCGCCCAGCCATGCAAGGGGCCTCCACTCGGCCACGAAAATCCACCGTGGGGACCATGTTTGCTGTCGGAGGAATGGACGCCACCAAGGGTCAGCTGTGTGAATTAGGAAAAGGGGGGGGGGCAGTCGGGTAATTGGGGCGCTGGTATGAGAGGGTGAGAGAGTGGCGCGAGACGGAGTGAGGCTGGAGAGGGAGATTAGGTTTGGAATGATGCTTCTAAAAATGTCAGCAGCGTGCCCAAATTTAGATTTCTGAGACGTTGGCCATTTTTTGTGCTCGCGTTAAAGTATGCAACATGGCTCCCACCATTTTCTTCTCCACAAGCCTTCGCTCGACCAAATATTATCCACACTGAGCAGGCAAATCTGGTATGCACCGTGCAGTGTGGTCTTGCTGCGGGCTAGCCTTTGTTCTAAATACACGGTTTTTGAATCTTTTCAAAAACTTTTACTTGGTGGCCTGGAAGCAAGGTTTCAATGAGAACGGTTTGGTTTGATCAATTAATGTGGTTAATGGTTACTCCGACTACACAATCCGCAAAGCCATCACTGCAACCATGAAGGACCCTCTTGAGGAGCCATTCAAAACCATCACCTTATCCTACATTGCGGAGGTCACAAAAAAGATCTCCAAAATCTTGAATAAACACCATCCAGGTCCGATTCAACACGGTACATAAAATCCGTGATCTGGTCTTGTCTGTAAAAGATGTGATTCCAGACATACAGTACCCTGGCGTCTACAAACTAAGTTGCCTCTGTGGTAGCAGTTACATTGGAGAAACCAAACGACATGTCTCGGACCGCATTCGTGAACACAAAGCAGACCTAAAACACGGTAGGACCAACATCTCAGCCGTGGCAGACCACTGTTATAATTCAGGTGTGCTCACATGACATTGACTTCTCCAAGACAGAGGTTCTCTGGAAGCCATCTGGCTACCAAGAGAGATTTGTTCATGAGGCTATCCACATATACAAACGGAGACGATTTCAACCGAGAAGATAGATTCTGGCTTGGCAATCATTGGAAGGATTAATTGATTGTGTTCACGTTTACGGTGACTTTCGGACCGCATTCAGTTCTTTCTCTCCCCCCTCCTCCATTCTGAGCATGATGGACTCGTCTGTCTGAACAACTGCCAGTTGCTGTCCGTGGTGCTAACGTTAAGAAAAAACCGCCACTTTTTTCAAATTTTCTTGCTGTGGTTTTCACACCTGATTTTGAGTTGCTTGTGTTGCAATCAAAACGTCGTGAGACTTAATTTGTTTTATCTTTATTATTTTATTATTTCCCTTCTACGTGACTTTACCGAAAGTACCAAGAATGTGTAATAAGAGTGCAAATAATTATAATTAACACCATCAGCTCTGAAATCGACTGCTGGATGAACAGTTTCCAAGTCATTGCTATATCTAAGTGGATTCTGCGATCGAGCACCCTATACACGTTTTGAATTTCATTGCTCCACCTCTATGGACGTCATCTTAGATGTGTTTTCATGCCTTGCCTGTTGGGCTATCATCCCTTATCACGATGTGTCCTGTCCAAGCCCACTTACTTTAACTTTGCAGGTTGAATTTTGCCTTTAACCTGTCTCCATTCTATAAATCACATTTATTTTTCTCCCTCGATGTAATTCGCAGCACGCACTTGTCCACGCTTCCTTGCACACTAGTTGTTGGTGACCATATTTTATCGTCGGTTTTTTTTTTTATTATATGATGATATCGGTAACTATTTCATATACCTGCATCCCACAATCGTGGTAACTGACCACGGTGAACTGCAGCGACGCTTTTAGGTACCCCCAACTCTCGCCGCACGCGTGCGTGCGTGCATGCGCGCGTCAAATCGGGTCGCATCTTCTTCGTGGTTGAGACCTCGAATCAATTTTATTGCGGGTGTGAGAAACGAATTAATCCACCCACGCGCACACCTCGTAATCCACCCCGCGACAGACCGCTTGGCCAAGGCGTATCAATGTTGGCCAGTGGCACGATGCGCTCACCCCCCCCCCCCCCCCATCACATGTTGTGCGACGCGATTGAATTCCCATTCACGTTTTTAAGTGAAGGAAGGGGGGGGGGGAAGGCGTGTGGGGATGAAGTTGAGGGGGTGGGCAGGGAGGCGGTTGGAGGGAGCGCTGCGAATTAATTTGGAGGGATTAAGATAACCTCCCAGCGCAATGACAGCTCCCCCACCACCCGGATGACTGATACGGTTGTTGCTCTCGCACCTCGGGTGCCTTGCTCCTGTGTGCAGCCCCACATTACTATTGATTTTTTGTTTTAATGGAAAGGGATTGCTGCCCTTTGTGACTATACTCGCTTAGAATTTATAATGGGGGGGGGGGGGGTAGGTGAAGAAGATAAAAGGAAAAGAAAAACATTGGGTGCTCTGCTTGCAGAGCCACGATTTGGATGTTAAGAGTGATGCACCAGCACATCTGCTCTTGGTTGCCACTATCAGGTCGGCCAAATATATCCCACAAGACCCAGCCCCCTTGGGGCATGAGAAATGGATGCAGCTTCCCAGGGAAGCACGCCCAAAGGTGCACATTGCTCGGTCGCCGTGTAGGCGTCGCCTCGTGGCAGTGTGCCCAGGTAGCGCGTTGGATCTGCTTGTGTCCCCCCCCCCCCCCTCCCCAGGGGTTTTGTGAACGATGGTGTAGTTTGGGACCCAGATGGAGATTTTATCCTAATGAGGTGCTCATTATGCTTGCATATATGAGGAAGATGCTGTTGGTGTGGGTGTTGGCAAATTAATAATCGTAAATTTTGAAGTCCTCTCTTTTTTCATCTATTATTATTGGATGGTTTTAAAGTTGTGTGGAACAGTGCTTTTCTGCAAAAGATTAAGTATTCTATTAAACTATTCCCATACTTATGCAAAATTAAAATGTGAAAGGTCCAGCCATTTCATATATTTTTTTCACTGTTTCAGAAATTATGTAATTTTCTCTTCTCACCAAACTGGGGTAAAAATAAGCAATTGTATAGCTGCAATTACGCTGCAAAAATTAAAGGTTACATTTTGAGCATCGGCTAATTGCAAAGTGGGCACCCAATTTAAAAGTAGTGCTACAAAATGAAATGTTGGCCACCTTCGGTTTTTTAAGCAATGCTCATTGCACCAACCGAAGAGAAAAAATTGTGTGCTTTTATATATCGTGGGGACGGTAGTGGAGTGGTTGGCACGCTATGCTAAGATTCCCGCTCGCAGCCAACATCTGAACCGGTCCTCGGCCTCCCCTAGATCGACTCTGCCTCATGAGTATCTGGTGTGGTGCGTACACCGCCACGAGGGAGACAAAGGCGGCCGGGCGTGGTGTTGGCTTCCCACCTCCACATGTGCCGTGCTGGCCTTCATAGGTGCTCTCTAACAGCACTTGCCCTAACAGTCTGTCAAGGCTATACGGGGGATCTTTGTCTTTATATAAAGCAAATATCCAACCATGTTGGAACTTCTTGGTTCTTTCGGTAAAGTCTCGTAGAATGGGAATAATAAAATAATAAAAATAAAACATAATAAAATAATTCTCACAACGCAAGCAGCCGTCCTCGGGTGAAGAACAGGTCTGTCGAAGACAGTCTGAATGACACACCCCAGGCTTGGAGCGTCTATGAGACCAACAGTTTCCTCTCATTCATTCATTTTTTGTTTCACCACCTTACTGCAGGTGAACATTGCACTTCCCGTTATGCCTTTCTCCCGCTGCGAAACTTAATCATTCGCTTGGTCTCTTTTTTTCCAAAATTCTTCGCTTTGCTTAATTTCGTGAAACTTGTCAACCCTTTACCTTATAAACCTTCAACTAGTGCTGTTTATTGCTGGCCTTTGGGATCTGTGCACAAGCCAAGTATTATAAAGCAAGGCATGGAAGCACAATTTATATTATAAACGTTTACTTGCCTACAACATTCTGACGGAGAATCTAAACTCCCTACCAAGAGGACTCTGCTAAGTTTCACAGTCGGGAGCATTGCTGTGCGTTTCCCAAGTTAGTAATTTTTAGGCAACCTTTCAGATTTGACAGATTGGACCACATGGCCCTACGTTGCCTCTTGAATAACGTCATGGGATTGGTCGCGTTCGCCTTGCAGCAAACAGGGCGGCGGGTATTTTATCTTTACGTGCTGCAGTATTAACCAGGGCGGCCGTGGGGCCAGTTGAGTGGGGAGGGATCTCCAACTGCAAACCTCTGCGGACAAAGCGGCGTAACGCTTAAAAATGTTCTTCCACTGCGCATGCAGGAGCCACCAGCATCGAGCGCTACGACCTGAGGACCAACACGTGGACGCAGGTGGCCATGCTGAGCGGTCGACGGCTGCAGTTTGGCGTGGCCGTGCTGGACGACAAGGTGTACGTCGTGGGTGGGCGGGACGGCCTGAAGACACTCAACACTGTCGAGTGCTACAATCCACGCACTCACACCTGGAGCGTGCTGCCGCCCATGTCCACACACCGGCACGGCCTCGGTAAATGGGATGGCCTGCGCGGCGACCAAACTCAAACGAGTTGTGCGGGAACCGGTGTGCTTTTATTATTATAATTTTCTTTACGAATAATGTGGTGTTATGTGTAACGTAGATTGTCGTACCTTGTGAAGGGCGGAGGGTGACATCGTCCGGTCCTTGTTTCGTATGCCACGAGTATAGAATTCGCAATAATACCTTGGCTATGTAAAATTCAAGTCTGGTGGGACTTTGACTATTGTGTATTTGCATTATACACTATATATTGTAAATATAGACAGACGTACTAATGCATTTCAGAGCTTTGACTCTTGCACTTTTTTGATTCAGAATTTTGAAGGCAAGGGTTTCTAGATAGTACACATTTCGTGAACGTCGCTATCCATTGAGGTTGCCAGGTGGCCATGCGATGGCAGTGCAGCACACGGCTTCGTGAACTTGACTACTTCTCTCTTGTGTGCGCACCTTGTCTGGGTACCTGCCTTTCCTAATCGTGCACAATACACGCTTTAAAAAAAAATCTAGAATTGACCTTGCACTGCAATGCAGGACCTCTCCTATTTAATCGGCATTTAATCTCAGTGAGGCTTTTTTGCATATTTGTGGGAGTGGTGGTGGAGTTTCGGGGTTAGCAATCTGCGATATGAACCCCCGCAACCTGGATTAATTGGTGCAGGACAATCCCTGTACACCGTCCGGCACTGCCCACTATGATAAAGTATGGTGAAACATCCCCAATGCCTGACACAGCGTGGGGAAATCTTTGCCCAGCAGTGGACTGATATGGCTGTAAAGTGGTGTTTACATTCCATTATTTTTATTTGTATCCAACAGGTAATCCTGTTCAACTCTCCATTGAGTTGTCAGAGCATCCATTCCAGTTGATGACTATTTTCATTCCCCTATGGTTCGATTTCTTTAGCTTATGGGTTAACACCTTGGGAGAAGAAAAGCAGAAATAATTTGTTCAAATTGGTCCACATTCTTAGGTTAAAAGTGAAAAAAATCTCCCAAGAAGTATGGTAATTCTAATCTAGGACTTGAATCTATTAACTTGAGTGCCATCTCCTGTCCAAATGTGCTCAACGATAATGTGTACCTGTTCATAAACGTGGGGTGCTGAACAGAGCCATAACCATCGTTGGCTCATCACTGGAAGAGTTTTATCAATGGGAAAACTCGGCTTAAGGTGAATCTGATAACAGTAGTGCAACTTGTAAAAGTGTTTTGTGATTAAATGCTTTGTTTTAAATTGGACGTTAAGGTGTTTTTGGTATCCCGTTGCTTTGGTGGCCTAATGAGCTTAGTGCTTGTGGCAGCTCTGTTGTTTATCGGTGAGAAGGAGATAAGTGTGCAGAAGACTTCTTCCCTCCTAAACCCTAAGCACCGACCCTTCCTCCGTCTGTTCAGGCTTTTAGAATGCCAAATGTCACCAATGACTTGGGGGGGGGGGGGGGGGGTGGGGGGATTATTGCGTTTACATTTTTGCTTTTTTAAATATTGCGACATTTTCATTTTATGACAATTAATAACGTCGAGGTAATGTTCATCATGTGACAAACATTTACGTGTAAGCAGTGGGTGGTAAAATACTATACCCCCCCCCCCCCAAACTGTTTGAACCAAAGGTCACGGCCTCGTGCTTTGTTCCCGCGTGCTCTCACGTGAAGGGTTTCACTACTCTGCTATTATCCGAATGCACACTGTCCCGTGATTTGGTACCGATGGCATACTCGATGATAAAAAAAGCACTATTCAACAAGGCATTACTATTTGGCATAGAGGAACCAAATGTCCATTTTTATGATCATTGGTTTTATTTTAATGTTTTGTCTGTAATAAAATGTAAAAGTAATTGAATATGGCTGGATAATGTAGTGGTTAGTATGCTCACCACTGAGGCTGTTTGCGTAGGGTCAGTGGCTCTATTCTCAAAAGCCCTGACCGAGTAATGCTTTAGAGGATTACCAGAGCACGCCGCTCTATTAGCGTGGACCTGAATGTACGGTGCTAAATCCATTGCGATTCTCTGTAGCTTAAAATGCAAATGTTAAAATGAATTTCAACCAAATTACAAAGAATGCTCTCCATCCAAATTTAACTTGCAAACGAGATATTTCGATGACTTTCCCAGCTGTTTACAAAAGTAAACGAGATTGAATTGCATATAGTTCACTCTCTTATCCCTGGGCAGATTATTCCAGTTTCAGATTATCCATGCTTGCAGAATATGTAAAAGTATAAAAGCATATTTACATGCGTGCTGGTAGAATTTTTCAGATTCGCCAAACTGATCCAGGGACACTGATTCATTGCCCACGTCGATCCCTAACATGTCAACAAGTAAACCGATTTACTTCTTTTTGAGAAGCAAATAAAAACAGACGGAGGTCGCTCTTCACCCCCCCCTCCCCACCCAAATGCTCCGGATAATTGACAGTTGACCTCTGAGCGGCACCCTCACGGCTGGGGTTTTCAAGGCCATAACCAATCCGTGAAACTCTGGCCTTGCAAGATATTGGAATCTGGCTCTGGGGTCGAGCAGGACAAAGGGTCTTGGGTTAATCATTTTTGCCGTTTTTAATGTTGCATCGGTAAGCATGCGCCCGTGAACGCGTAACCTTTTTGCCTGCCGTGTGTGTCTGGGGGCGTAGGTGTGGCTGTGCTGGAAGGGCCCATGTACGCGGTCGGAGGCCACGACGGCTGGAGCTACCTGAACACGGTGGAGCGCTGGGACCCGCAGGCTCGGCAGTGGAACTACGTGGCCAACATGTCCAACCCGCGCAGCACCGTCGGTGTGGCTGTCCTCAACGGAAAGTGGGTCGCATTGACCGTCCGCGTGATGATTGTTGGAAATTGTCGGCCGTAATTTTGGAATTTGTTCGCGTGTATCGATTTCTATTGAAGGTGTAACGATGCACCCTGTAGATGGATTAATATTGATTCTAAAGCTAATGATGCTTGCATCGATTACATGGTTTTTTTTAAGAATAAGCGTTTTTTTATTACTATTCATTATGGCAGTACAACAATAGTACATTACTGTACTTCGATACTTCATGTCTATGCTGTCCACAGTTTACCCACACTATGGGCGTTTGGTCAAAATAACCCCACGACCGGTACAGGGAGGCTGTCTTCGAGCTGTAGATTGACCCCAAGTAGGGATTTTTACGGTTTTATTTTTAGTTCGTGTCACTCCTTCGTCCACATTGCAATGAATGCTAAGATGACCGCTTGTGTTGCGATCGACACATCGTAGTTTTTTTTGTGATTTTTATTTTCTTTTCTTTGAACCTATCTACGTGACTTTTACCGAAAGACCCAAGAATATGAATGCTATAACATCCACAGCAATTATTTAAAATAGATTATCGAATCTAATTGTAACTCCTGAAAGAGTCGACTCCCCTCGGGTGAATTGTTGAACATTTTTCAAAGAGTCGTGGTGATTTTTTTAAAATTAAAAAGCAAGTTTGCTGTTTGTTTAGAAACTTCATAGATGTGGCAGCACTGCCATGCAAAGAGAGACGGAGTTTTAATGAAGCTCAATGCAGTGTTTATTGACGGTTGGATTTATTTGCGTAATTGGCCACAGGGATGAGAGAGAAAATCTAGGAAATCAAATCCGCATATCATTTGCACAAGTGGTTGGTATAACACCTGGTAATGTTTAGTAGTGTTACAAAAAATACATTCAATTTGTGTATCTAATTAAATTTAGCAGGTGTGTTTTTTTAAAATAATATAGATGCTTTTTTTTTTCCTCGCTACTCACGGTTGTATGCTGCATGTAAATTAATGTTGGGCAATCGACAGTAATCACGGATAATGCCAGTTGCAATTACTTTGCCACGATTGGGGCGCTTTTTAAATAACACTAATAACATTACGCAGTCGTGGCGTTTTTGTGACCTGTCGCTTGTGACCCGGGGCACACGCTCTGCTCTCCCCCCCCCCCCAACAGGCTGTACGCAGTTGGCGGCAGGGACGGTAGCTCGTGCTTGCGCTCGGTCGAGTGCTTTGACCCGCACACCAACAAATGGACGGCGTGTGCGCCCATGTGCAAGCGCCGAGGGGGCGTGGGCGTGTCTGCCTGTAATGGGTTCCTCTACGCTGTGGGCGGACACGACACGCCCGCTTCCAACCACTGCTCGCGGATATCCGACTGCGTGGAGAGGTACGCATGGCAACTTTTTTTAAACGTTCTCACATTTATGCGATTTTTTTATATAAGACGGTTGTTACCTTGTGCAACGGTGGCTATGGCATCACTGTAATGCAGCACTGGGGGTAAGGCTTTGGTGGCTTTTGACGAAGGCGGTACAGAAAAACTTCGAATCATCTTCATCTGTGACATCTCCTCGCACGTGTGAGTTTTTCTGGGTGTGCGCAACTTCTTCCACGTGTATACAAACTCAGATTAAAAAAAAAATTATTTAATATAGAGGACTGCAGAGCTTTGGCAGTTGCTGCTGGCTCATCGCCTGGCTGCCTTAATTCTAGTCTTTGGTTCCTCTTTGCCACTGTGCTACAAATTGTAAAGTATGATATGCAATCTGCATGAATGATGCTGTACGAAACTAAAAATCGTCTCTTCACTTGTCCAGGCCCATTATTTTGTACCGTCCTGATCTGAATGTGTAAGCGTGCCCTCTGGAGGAAAGGTTATTTGTATAAAGTAATAAAAAAAGTTTTACTTCCCTGAACCTGCTGAAAGGAATGAACAATTGATGCAAATTTATTTCAACTACTTAAAAAAAAAACGTCGAGGGGTTTGCAAGGTTATTACTACATTGTGAGTAGCAGAAGTCATTCCAGCAATCTGTGTTGCTATGGTTTTTTGCTCCCACATCTATACTTCCCCTTCATCAACCTGCTCTGTCCAGCAGCTGAAGTGTGGCCAAATGACCCCCATGACCCATACCGCATGGGAAGGGGGGGCCCTCTTCCAGCAATAGATTGACAAAACGGTTGTACATCGACAAAAGTAAATTGTTTGGAATTTTAGGAAAAATATTTCAATGCTATCCTGGTGCAATGTTTAGCAAACGGCACTTGCAATTCAGATGTTGCCAGCTCGATTTGATCTCCCGGTGCGGCAGTTCAAATGGGCAAGTTATTGAATCCGCACCTCGGCATACCCGGCAGTAAATATGGATGCACTGCGGTTAGTCGATTTTAGTGGGGTAAAGTGTGGGCACTCCTCTACCTTTTTAAGACATCTGGTCAGTGTAGAGGAGAATAGCAAAAATATCCTGGAAGGGGTTTTCTCGAGCTCTCTAATGCGCCGCAGGCCCTTCTACCAACATTGCTACGCGTACGCAATTTGAAAGGCTGCATACAACTCTTTTTTAAATCCTTTATATTTTGCTTGCTTGCTTGCGCGCTTACGACCGTGCAAATGTTTCAGTCGTTTTTTAACCCACTTCCCGTGATCCAATCGAGCTGACATTTTGCACACAGACTCGTTGTGCGTGACAATTTATTTTCGTGAAAATTTTTTTTCCATAACTTTACACTTTTTAGGGAAAAATATATATATATTTAATTACCAAATGCTTAATGGTGGCAGGCAATCATCTGACCCATAGGTGGCAGCCATCTCAAGCCAGAGGACGAGAGGACTCTAGCCGCCACGCATATAAAGGATTTATAGTGAAAAACTTTGTTTTTACGGGTTAATTTTTTTACAAATTGGCCATTGCAAATTTCACTCGCTCATCTCCCTATCCATCTTCCTATGGCCCGTGAACTTGCTCGACCCAGGTTCGACCCCAAGACGGACGCGTGGACGGCCGTAGCGCCCCTGAGTGTGTCGCGGGATGCGGTTGGCGTGGGCCTTCTCGGGGACCGTCTGTACGCCGTCGGCGGTTACGACGGGCAGACCTACCTCAACACAGTGGAGGCGTACGACCCCGTGGCCAATGAATGGGCACAGGTGTGCAATGTTGGCTCTTTCCCCCTGCCCCCCCCACAATGAGTCATGCGCTCATTTTTTTAGTTGTGTGCATGTGCCTCATTTGCTCTAATTATCCGGATTATTATATAACGCCAGGTGTTGACAACGCTTGTGGATACCAGACACCCCAATTTTGTGCTGCCCAGAGTCCAAAGTTTCATCAATTTGGTCACACATGAACACTTCCTGGAATAATATCCTTAACTTTTGCCTAACATAGAGGGGGGTGGGGGGGAAGTGTTTGCCGCCACTTGAGGTACAAAGATCCCAGCAGATATGGGAAGAACGGCTCACGATACTCAAGAGGTATAAGAACTGCATCTCAATGCATTGCCTTCAGTGGTGTATTGCTACGCAACTGGTAAAAGCCGGCAGGCACTTTTAATGTCCCATGAAGACGTACAGAATCCCCCTGGACAGCTGCCTCAACAAAGAGGACGTTCCTTGCAAAACCATGACTGGTGGCAACTCTTGTGACAAATGTGGTGGTATCTTACCCAAAAAAAATTACCCAATTTTTTTTAACCTAAAGCTGGGGGGGGGACACTGTACACGCGCTGTGGGTCATTTCTATATTGCTCGCACGTTTAGGACACTTTTTAAATGTGTGGATAATCGATTAATGTAATCGTTAGATGACTTTCTTCTTGCTTGAGTGGTTGATTAATCAATTGGCTATACAGTTTTATGTCAACCAAGTAGGTAAATTACTGAAATGCTCACAATACTGGTGTCGTATAAACTCAAACGATTTCATTCATGCAGGGATGGGGATTGTGGGTTTAGTTTTGTGCGATTTTTTTTTTTTTATCGCATAACTCTCCCCTGGTCAATTTAGCCTTGAAATGAATACCTGGTGCGGTGTGTAAACATCACCACTTGGGAGACAAAGGCGGCTGGGTGTGGTGCTGGCTTACCCACCCCTTGTGCCATGCTGGCCTTCATAGGTGCTCACGGAACAGCACCTGCCCCAAGTCTGTTAATGCTATACGGGGGCATCTTTGTCTTGTGTTAAACCATCTCCTTATTCCATAAATAATACTTATTTCCAACTTTTTTTTTTTGACCTGAGGTTGCCAGTCGTGCAACTGTTGTGTGTATTGCAAGCACTCTCACGAGTTGCTCACGATTTACTGTGTGTGTGCGTGTGCAGGTGGCTCCACTGTGTCTAGGCCGTGCCGGGGCATGTGTGGTCACAGTCAGAGTGATCTGACGAGGTCATCGCCGAGTGGGTGTCTTTCTGTGCGGGTGGGGAAGGTGGAAGAAGACACATCCACAAGCTTTGGAGCGGCTAATGGCTAAGTTTTTTACAATTGTTGAAATGGCTCGTCGATTTCAATTAATTACCCGTTGTGCTGTGCACGTTTGCTTTTTCTCTCTTTTTTTGTAATTGTATGATGTGTGCATGGAGTGGACAACTCTTGTGAAAATACACACATGCTTCCCCCCCCCCCCCCTCCCATTTCTGCTTCGTGTCGACCGAATGGCTGGTGCTTGGGGCTTGGTCACCTATGCCTTGTGCGGAATCTGGCGATGATACTGAGAAATGAAATACTCGCTAAGCCCTGCTACTGACAGAAAGCCACCGTCTGTTTGCAGATATGGCTATGTCAAACCATTGGCTTTGCTTTTTTCCGTGCGCGTGTGTTTGCAGTGTATATAGATTCAAAGCTTTGAATCGGGTGTTATATCCTGCCTGCCGTCGTCTCTGGATTCAGTGTATCGGTGCTGTAACCCTTGCGGGGGTCACATTTTCATCTGTACTCGCGTGCTGCGTACATCACAAATCTCGCATCAGTATGCCAGCGACGCGTGACATTTATGCTTTTGTGCACACGGCAGCATGTCCATTTTTTAAAATGGGTCTGGTCAGGAAATATAAAGATCTGTCACCTTTAAAAAAAATATATACATTTCCACCTGAATGGCAGTGGTTATTACTTGAGCATTGTTAATTTTTAACTCGCGTGTTTGTGTGTTTTTAGTTTTTCCTGATGCAGGGAAAAAAACTATTGCAATTCCTTCACACCAGCAAGCATGTCTGCCGCGTCCAATAAGCATGCGCCGAACTCTAACCTTTTTTGTAAAAATTTTGCATTGTGTGCAATTCGTGCTTCTCGGCTGTGGATTACCAAAACCATACACACAGCCCTAACTGGCGGTCGCGCGCTAAGGCATGCAGATAATTGCGGCGAGATCGTTGAGCATTTCTTTTCTTCACAGCCATGTTACCACGGCAGTAATGCTCTTCACTTTGACCGTGATCAAGCATTTTGGCACAAGATTGGCTGTGGTTCACGATCGCACCGTGAGCCGAAAGCAAGTCCATCGGGCACGTCTGTTCCTGCAGTCCCAGGCTGCAGAACTTTGGTTATTACTGCTTCAAAAACCTAACTGTGGTAATTGAAAATGCGCATTTAAAGCAAAACTGCAATTTCTGACAAATGTTGTGAAGTTCTAATGACTTGGCAATGGCTCTTTTGGAATTCGCACAGGACCACCTTTTTATGCCGAAGTAACGCCTTGTATAATTTTACTCTGTTACACAAACTGGATAAGCACATCACTTTAACAGTGTTTAGTCATGAAACGGTGTTTACTATTGTTACAACTACATTGAGCACAGCTTGCTTACATTATAGATCTTTTTGTATTCACCCTTAACCAAACCAAGCTCGGTGATGAATGCAGTACTGTAGAAATGTTTCTGGTATATTTTATTGTACTTGGCGGAGTGTTTTTACCAGGCCTTTGTTACCATGGAGTAAATCCAAATGAACACACGTTGAAAAGCACACCAGGATAATATGAATGTGGCTTCTTACTGCGTGTTTTTGTCTCAAACACCATAGGGAGTCCAGAACCAGATCAGAACATTGAGAAACATTATTAGTGTAGTTTGTTAATTTTTGTATCAAAATAAAAAAAAATGTTACTCTTAATATTGCACCGCTAATACCTTTTTTTACAGTAGCTAACACTTGCATATATAATCTCGTAATTGCAATTCCATTTTTCGAATATTTTATTATTGTATGGAAGAGAACCAGGATGTCCGTTTGGTTGGGTTTATTGGTGTGGTCTGCACAGTGGTTTGGGTCCAGAACTTTTCACGTGAAAGAAGAGGTGTTTTGCATAACGACTTGTCCATATCTGCAGTTTACTTAAATCATTTTGGCAAATAATTTTTCGTGCTAGGCCCGCAGAAGAGTAAAAAAAACCCCAGCCATCTGGCAAGACTGTACAGAAATTTCGAAAATAATTTGAGGCACCCAATTAAGTGACGAGCACAACGTTTTATGAGGCCAAGGCAGTTGAAGTATACTTTATTATAATTACCATACTTTTGCAAGCCGCTCCCCCCCCCCCCCCTCCCTCGTGTAGTTATGTAACGAAATGGCTTCCGTATATCTGCCTGTTATTGCACCTTTTTGGCATTTTGTTTAGACGACACCAACTGTGACCGGATTGCTGACGTGCAGCTTGCTGGCCACTTCTCTCCCCTTTTAATGTAATTCATAGTAAAACCGAAATGACCAATATCTGGCCTTCTCTCCACAGGGCATAAAGGTGCAGTTACACCAATTCCACTGCATCATAAATAAAGTGACATCTAGAGAAGAAAGTGACCCTGTAGAATTTGATTGCTTATTAATAAACCTACCCCAGTGGGATTTGATTTGAGATTTCACAGGGTCACTTTTCACATTACAACTCTATTTCTCAGTAGAATTAGGTTTTGGATGGTCTTGATTTTGGCTGCATCTAGAAGTCAAGGGCAGCTCCTGCACCTTTGTCCCTGGTGGTGAGGTCGGTGATGTGGGCCTATTAGCATTTGACCAAAACCGTTGCTCGTTTCTAATTCTTTGCCGACTGCAGGTCTTATGAAGTGTAGCGTACATTTCGTTTGTTATTTTAAACATTCCGAGGGCTTTTGTTGACTTGGACAGCTGGCTGAACGATTCCAAACTTGCACAAAAGCTTTGGTTTTTAAATGCAAGACCTCCAATATTTGAAGCCATGTGATGGAGCTATTTAATATATCCCTAATCAAGCTATAATAAGTTCAGACTCTATTGTGGGATCAGTGGCTTGTGGGATTGCTTTCCATCGGTGTGAGCTTTAGTTGGTCAGACCTGTCTGTCAAGGCCAGGGTTCTGAAGCGATGGCCAGAGTACTTTACTCCTGAAGCAATCTAAGGCAGAGATTGATGCACAATTATGACCAAGCTCAAATTGACTCACGTGACCTAAGGGACACCTAACTTAACCCTGTCCCACCATGAGATTACCATATTCAGAGGACTCTTGTCATAAAACTTTAAATGCACGACATAGCACAATATCCATCTACTTGTGCAGGTAAGGCTGTTGCTAATATATAAATGCCTCAACAATATTACCGCATATTTGTTTACCTCCATGTTTAATTGGTGCGAACAGAAGGACTGAAGCGTCCCAAGGCCGGGTACACTTGTTTCTATACCGCCAAATCTGTAGCTTCACGATAAATATTATTGGCACACACATCATCACCTTGGTATGATCTGAGATCTGGCCTCTCAAAAGAGAAGACGTTAATTCTGTGGGTTTCTTAAAATTGTTTCGGTGGGTATTAAAAGGGACTTATTCAGCTGTGGTTATGCCTGCACTTGCAGACTTTGGATTGTGACAACGTAGACAGAAGTGAGGTCATTTAGCTCCCACTAGGTGGCTTGAGGGGTTTTGCCAAGCGGGCAGAGTCAAATGCATTGAATGGTAATTGCCAACATTTTTTTAATATGCCACATGGCACATTATCTTTAAGGATTTTTAGTTCAATTATTCAAAACTGTAGTATAATTTAAGAGTTGTTCTGAGTAAGAAAAACAATATTAGAATTTAAATACAACTTGAATGATGGAAATTGCAAATGCATAATGAATTGCACTTGAGAAAATTGCAGGACTCAAAAGGTCTGATTCTCAAAATGGTTTTGTAATTTAGAAAGCAATTTCTTAGGCACGGTGCTGCAGTGCAAAACAAAGTACCCGGTGTTATCAGACAAACAGGATAAGTAAAAAAAAATGTAGGGCTGACGTCTAACTTGCAAACTGGCCAGTGGTTAAATCTTGACTTAAAGCTTTTGTGACTGCAGGAATTCATTCTTGGGTCTTTCGGTAAAGTCGCATAGATAGGTTCAAATAAAATAAAAACGAAAAAGCTACGACGTTTCGATCACAGCACAAGCGCTTGCGTTGCGATCGAAACGTCTTTGAACCTATCTACGTGACTTTACCGAAAAGACCCAAAGAATATGGCCAGTGGTTGTTTTGGGAAGTCCTGTTAAAAGCCCATTGTCTCAAACCCTACATGCTGAAAAGTTTGTCAATACACTGGTCACTGAAAATGTTAAGTCCTTCCACCAGGTCCATTTACTTCATGGCTTATGGACAATTGCACAGGTGCAATTTCTTTCTAAACTCTTTTCACGGAAACCCCATTTTCAGAGGTTATTTTTATGAAAGCAATATTTGGTCATTGTAAGTGTCTGGAACTGTTCCAATCGGGAGTTTTTTTCTGTGAATGAACTCCTCCTGACGGCCTGGTAGTGTAACAGTACACAATGTGTTCAGTGTTTAGTGTGTGCACTTGGGGTGCTGTGAGGCTGCGATCGTTCGAAAAGCTGCTGGTGTCGTTTAGCCGTTGCTTATGGAGTTTTACGAAGCTCCTCCCTGAAGCATGGTCCACTTGCAGGGTAGCAATGCTGACCGACACTTGCCTCACTGACGATGTTCTTCCTTTGCACCCAACAAGTGACCAAGGCAGGTGAAACTATGGATAAACGACACGTGGATTGTAGAGCTAATAGCAGTCTCCTATTGAGGGCAATTCTGAATTTGCCTTTTTACAGGAAAGTGCAGTTGGTGAAGAGATGGGGGGGGGGGGGGGGGACCACGTTGGCATCGTTGGTGTCCGTATGTCGCTCACAATGTTGGTGTGAGGAGTGATCAGGAAGCACGCTCGTTGGCCTGATCATTCGTATCTGTTTAGTTTAAATACTGTGTACGGAGTGCGCGATATTGGCTTCATGGAGGAGAGTGAGCAAAGCTGCTCTTTAACGCTCGGAAATGAGGATTAACCCAGGTTCATTATTGATCGAGAGCCGTGACTCTGGATGTCAGTTTGTGGACCAAAATAATCTCCGGTTTGGAATTAGCATTTTCCACATTACGATTGTGGTGGTTCTGCGCAGAATAATTATTGAGCAAGCAAAGCAAGGCGTTTGCATACGTGTTTGCCAATGCTTGGGCTTAACGTTTTTACTGTGTCCCTAATTTTGGTGTGCGTTTTTTAACTGCATGCCCGAATGGCACATTACCAGTCCCTTGCATGGGCCTCAACCACAGAGCTATTACAGAATCGTTTGATATCGTGCTGACTTTCAATTCTGGGAAATTGGACCAGTACGCATCTACAACAGCCAAATTGAAATTGAGGCGATTATCCTTGAGATGAACGAGACCTTCTTTTTTGCCCACCTCATGGACTTGTGTGCAAAATCTGATGGTTGGTAATTGTATTTTTCAGTGTCCTTCTTGTCTAGGGGGCTTGGCAGGTTGTCGGGATATTGTGTATTTTTTGTTTAATTTTATAAAAGTATATCACAGAAGGGCACCCCGTGGGAGCAGTTTTTTTCCAGAGTCGTAAATCTTGCCGTTTCAGAACATTCATTGCTTTGCTTAGCAGTTTGTAGACCTATTTATATTCTGCAGTAAAAACGGTGAAAAGGAAGGAAAAAATACAATATCGCATGCTGCAAACTATTCATTGCACTCCATTTGTAAAATAAGCACGTATACGGGCATACCGCATGTTTAATTTAACAAAAGAATTGTACATATTCGATTTAACGCTGGCTTTAGGATATTAACATTTGATGATGGGAGACCTGCCGAGGTCTGTCACGGTGTGTTCCATGAGTCATGGGCTTGATGACAGCCAGGGATGATCTCTGAATGATACAGTATTCGGCGATGTCATTCCAAAATGAGGGAAGGGCAAATGTGTGTTCATTAAACAAAATACATGTTTACAAGGTAGACTTATTTTAAAGGCTTCTATCCTTTTTTTTAATCTGTTTTGGAAACTTTGCCCAAAAATGGTTACAAAATGCACTTGTGATTTTTTTGAGGGTATATCGAATTGCACAAATTGACTGCATTAGCCATTACAAAAATATTTTTAAAGAAAAAGACGTCACCACCCTTGTGAAAGCTATGAATCTAGTAGAAAATAATTGTTCATGGCGGTAAGACAAAGCGCCTATAGTGCAGTCGCCTGACTGCTAGTTTTATTTACCACTAGATTTTAAATTCTGCGTGGGTGTTTTGCCAGATGCAGTACAAACTGCATTTGTATTTATGTATTTGTATGTTCTTAGGTGCTCCGTGTGATGCGAACGAAACGCTTACTTTTTTTTAAAATCATGTTTACAGGATGCCCTTTTCTGGCCTCTTCCACGAGACACTTGGTCACGTGCAGAATGGCCCTCTCACCCTTGATCCGTTTTCTCATATTTTTTCCCCTCTGTTATGCCCTTGTGGAGTTCAACTGGTGGGCCCATGGGCCCACGCACAGCTCACGAAGGTACTTTTTTTGGGGTGGGCCACAAGCTACTCTATGCCTTTCTTCCAATAAGTGAGATGAGTGGGGAGGGAAACAGATGGATAACAACTGGAGACGAGAGGTACAAATTAAGTCACGTGCACAGATTATGATGCCGCACTGGCATGTGACGTCATGTTGTCTGCCACATGCCAATTTCATTTCGTGGCCTGCCGGAAAATAATGTTGAACTCTGCTGTTGTATCTGACCTTGAGTGACGCCTGTTTCTAGCCATGTGGTTTTTTTGGTCTTTATAGTAATGACTGTTTTCCCACCCCAACGCGTCTCTCTGTTT